CATAATACCAGCCAAGTTCGGCAAGGGTGGAAACTGGACTTTTATAGTCATTTAACTCCCTTGCCTCGGGAAGCTGCCTGTAAATAAGATGTTCTGGACCAGACAGACCAGTGGCTGATAGCATGAGCAAGTAGTCATGCCATTGGGATATGACATCACTGTAACCACCTGATCCTCATTGAGTAGATGGGCTTCAACTGATTATAGAAGTATAACATAATTTTTTTAGGACAAAAATATGCCCAAATAAAGGACTAATCGTATTTTACATCTTAGAAGATTAACAGATCGATAATCAACCACATCTGCATTACTTTAAGACAAACTAATTTTGAAAACTGGACGTGATGGTTGTTATCAGTTCAGTGCAGCCAACAGTATCACTGTACAACCCTTATATGGGCGGCATTGGGGTCACATGATCCTCATCTTAGCCGTTTCTTGTGAGTGAGTGAGTTGGGTTTAACGCCGGTTTTAACAGTATTACAGTTATATCACGGTTTTACTGTGGGAGGAAAGCCTCAAGTGATGCAGGTCTCGGACGTTTACCACTTCAGTGAAACCCATGAGCATGGGTATGATGCTGACAAACCTAGAAACATAATTTGGGCAAACCAGGATTTGAACCCACAATCATAGGCTTCTGGCGTGCCCAAGGCACGCAACTCTGCACAGCGAATCGCAGCACCTTAGACGACTGGGCCACCCGTGCCCCCGTTTCTTGTGAGAATATTGTGGTAGCCATTATGGCCATCGGATGTTTGCAAGTGACACTGTGGCAGTTGTTATGGCAACATGATCCTTATTTCAGTTGTTTCTTGCAAGAGACACTGGCAGCCATTTTGGCCATCTTGTCCTCAATTTTTGCTTTTTTGCAAGAGACACTGCAGCAGCCATTACGGCCACATAGTTCTGATTTTAGTTCTTTCTTTCAAGAGGCACTGTGGGCTACCATTTCATTTGTTCCCGACAAAACCGAAGTTTGCAGTCGGGAAAGTTAACCTGGACCAAGAGTGCAAGATAAAAAGACATAACTAGGAAGCCAGGTCAACCATCAGTACTATCTACACTCTGCCTGACACTCATCCATGTAGTGTCTATACTCAGTAGCAATCATGGCCATGGAAGCCCTCTTCAAGATGTCAATTGCATCAAATTCCTCAAAAATGTCCTTTATCCACATTGGAGTGGCCAACCCCAAAAAACTTACAAAGACCAACAGCTGTAACATAACAGACACCATTCAGCAGCATGTACCTTTCTCAGCATCATGTTTTACAAAGTGATCTAATAATAATTGGGGGAAATGGGGCAACCTAGTGGTTAAAGCATTCGCTCGACATGCCAAAGGGCAGGTTTATATTCCCCACATGGGTACAATGGTATGAAACCCATTTCTGGTGTCCCCTGCCTTGATATTGCTGTAAAATTACTTAAAACGGTGTAAAACCTCCCTCACTAATAATAATTGCTTTCCACAGGAGATATTTTCATCTTTGTACATTTTGAAAATGGAAAATGTATTTCTCAAACAATTTCAGTCTTTTTCTTTATGGTGTTGACACAATTTGTTGACAGGTGATAGATCTGTTGCCCATCCATGCAACATTCAACCTTTGTGCAATAACACATGAATCAAATAGCAACTCTCTCTGCACCTTGTCTTTAGATACAGTTCTTACCACAATTTTTAAATGTTCATTTACCTTCCTCAATCCATGAGTTTTTCATTTGCAGATTTTTCAGAAGTCATAATATAAGCTTTTGGCACCAAATCACAGAACAATTTTTCCTAAATTCCATTCAACATGATGAAAACTAATTTCATCCCAGAATGTTTTGGCAAGGTAGCAAGGGCACATCCAGGCTCTTCTGAATATATGTATTTTATTTATTTCATGCAGATACCATATGCCCACAGCACTGACTGTCAACAGGACAATTTAAAATGGCAGAAAGATAAAACATGCCTGATGTTATCAGGACAACATTGACATATCTTGCCAAATACATCTACTTCACTGTGTTAACTCTGATGGTTTTTGTACACATGAGTTAGGGCCAATATACCGGGTAATGTCACTGGAAATGTATCACTGGATGGTGGTACTGAGGATGCTTGATGTCTGATAATACTTTCACCATTACTTGAGGCATTACATGTAGGAGTTCGAGGCTGAGAAGGCCCCTACAGTTGTTGAAAACATGGTGTCTGAAAGGATGCTGAGTACTTGGGCGGGTGACCGCCTTTGTGTGTGTCCTGCATGGCTGGTCTAGTGTGTCAGCTAACCCTGATGGACTGGACTGACTCACTGATGTTTACTTGGGTGGATGACCACCTTCATGTGTGTCCAATCTCATTAAAATCAGATCTTAGTTCTGGCTACCGCTTAACAAAGATCTGAGGACATCCCTTTACGGGTCACGTCAGACAGACCTTGCGCAAACTTTGACCGACGAATGGAATGACCATTCAGAAGGCAGCTTTCTCGTGCTTTACGGCACTAATTTCAAATTCAAATAGACAAGAAAGAAATCCAGCTCCATCAGCAGTATAGAGAGTATAAAGGTCTCGACAACTTTCAGTTCCCTGATGGCGATCTTGAGCTCTGAGGTTTCTAGGTACCCATCTTGCAGATACCTTGGACATACCAAGATGCTCATGAATAATGGTTCGAACAATTCCAACTGATATTTGGAATTCCCTCAAAAGTTCAGATACTTTCACTCTTTGGTCAGACAAAATTCTTCTGTCTATAGCAGCAATGGTTTCCGGTTGGGTGGCATCTGAAGGCCTGCCTGACCTTGGGTCATCGTCTGTGGACTCCCTACCCCTTTCAAACTGTAGAGACCAACGGCAAACTGTGGAGTAGTCAGGAGCATCCATACTCATCACTTTACACATGCGATCATGGATTTCTTTTGCTTTGCATCCCTCCTTGGTAAGGAACTTTATTACAGCGCGTTGTTTGAGAGAATCCATGATTGTGACCACCCTTAGGTGAATGAAGCCATCACATGTAACTTATTGTTGTGTCTGGAACTTGTTATGACACGTGTCAACCTGATGTTATGACTAGTGTCACACCTGCCACAAGTTGACATTGTTTGTGTAAACACAAATGCCCAAGTTGTAAAATTTATTGAACGCCCCTCGTATCATATCCCAACATTTACATGATGCTCACACAGTCAAACAAGAATCTCATGGATCACAAAATATTTCTGTGACTTTGTTAAAAGCAATTGATTCACTTACATCAGAGTCTATTTTCAGATACAGATGTATGTGCCAGGTATATGGTCCCTGTACATGCATGAAACCATCTTGAAACCATCCTCCCTTGAACTCTCATCTGAAGTCACTGAAGGCAATAGTCTCTGATAGGTTGGTTCACTTCAAGGTGAAGGTAGCAGACTGCCACACACACAATCACTGGGGCACAAAATATTGTCTTGAGACTGTAGGCATTTGTCACTGTAGGCATTTGTCCCTGTTGGCATTTGTCACTGTAGGCATTTGACATTGAAGGCATTTGACACTGTAGGCATTTGACACTGTTGGCATTTGACAGTGTTGGCATTTGTCATTGTAGGTATTTGTCAGTGTAGGTATTTGTCACAGTAGGCATTTGTAACTGTACACATTTGTCACTATAGGCATTTGTCAGTGTAGGCATTTGTCACTACACATTTGTCACTATAGCCATTTGTAGGCATAGTCACCATAGACATTTGATAATGTGGGTATATTTGTCACTATAAGCATTTTGTTACTGTAGGTGTTTGTCACTGTAGATATTAGTGGACACCAATGGTCTTTCAACTTTTTAGAAAATCCCCTTTGAACATATAATTAATTTAATTTGTGATGATAAATAAACCTACAAACCTGATCAAAACTAGTCCAGTCAAGCCATTTTCTGCAGTAATTACATGGTACAATTGGTGCATGTTTATAACCCATGTGGAATCTCTGGACTCATCTATACATGCATAGCTATATCAAGTAATCACACGCTGTTCTCCAAGAACGAGATTCTGCCCAATATTGTAGGAGGAACATATCCAAATAACATACTTTATGTTTCTACTGCTTTCATGACAGCCATGATGCCATAATATCACTGATGAACTTCCACATGACTGAACACACTGATTAGCCCTTCCACAGCACTCAATTACAGGCCTACCACACACAGCTATCTGCTGGACCCATACAGCTGGTTGATACAGGTCATCCTATACATGCCAGCAGAACACACATCCATCTTGTAAAGGGTTGGGAATTTAGTGAGTGAGTGGATTTTACGCGTCTTTTAGCAATATTCAGTAATATCACTGCAGGGGACACCAGAAATGGGCTTCACACATTGTATCCAAGTGGAGAATCAAACCCAGGCATTTAGCAAGATGAGCAAATGCTTTAACCAGAAGGCTATCCCACTGGCCCTTGGGAGCAGGTCTTTCATATTCCAGCCATATCAAAGCTTCATGTCCATGATCTAGTCTGGGATAGGCAACCAATGGTCAATTGCATGATCAACAATCTACATTGTCGGGGCAATATACAAACAGCCAGGTCACACATTACAACCAAATACCTGATTAGTCGGCTCTTTTGACAATCATGGAGGGGTTTGGACCTATTCTGCCATGGATTCTCAAATACCTCCCCATGTATATTTCTAAGATTTTGTTTGTTGACTAACGCTGCATTCAGCAATATTAAAGTTAGATGATGACGGCCTGTAAATAATCAACTCTCGACCAGACAATCCAGTGATTGATATTGTGAGCAGTGATCCACATTTTCAGGGTACGATGATACACAATCAGCAAAATGACCAATTCTGAATTTGGTCACCTTTTACATACAGAAGAGGTTGCTGGGGACCATTTCTTACATGGAATCCCCACTAGGACACTACTAAGAGATAAGTAGTCCACATTCAAGCAGAACCATGAATCTATCAGAGAAGACAGAAATTTGAACTTACCAAGTTCACAGTTGGGGCCTATATATCCATGGCGACACTCACAGACATTTGGTGCCAAACACTTTCCTCCATTGAGACATCGGCCATGGCAAAATGCTGGAATACAGAAATTATATGATTCATCATTGCTAAACATGTTAAGAAAAGAAATATTCCCTATGAATTTTAAAACTCTGAATTTTTCAAGTCATGACATTATTGTCTGTTAAGACCATCACAAACTGTATGAAAGCTAATCTTGTAATGCACATTTATGTGTTATCAGTGAAAATAGTTTTCAGTACGTCAAGACCCTTTTAAATATTGGTAGCAAATTTAGTCACAGATAGCCAGACACTCCAAGCAACATGGCACCATTCTATATGATACACTAGCATCATATATACCTACAACCTATAGTCACAGATAGCCAGACACTCCAAGCAACATGGCACCATTCTATATGATACACTAGCATCATATATACCTACAACCTATAGTCACAGATAGCCAGACACTCCCAGCAACATGGCACCAGTCTATATGATACACCAGCATCATACATCCCTACAACCTATCGTCACAGATAGCCAGACACTCCCAGCAACATGGCACCAGTCTATGTGATATGACCCTGCACCTCATCCCATATAAACAGTTATGAAACCTTCTACTACACAAGACATTTCTGTTAAAAAAAATGATAAAATGAATGCTGATTTTAAATTTCATAGCTCGCTAGACTTGTAGACATTCCCCTTAATGGAACAGGACTAACCCCAACCTCTCACCACAATACGTCACGCCGAAGACCCGGGTTCGATTCCCGACATGGGTACAATGTGTGAAGCCCATTCTGGTGTCCCCCGCCGTGATATTGCTGGAATATTGCTAAAAGCGGCGTAAAACGATACACCAGGTCCCCCATAGACTCGGACAGGGCAGCATTCTGTATGATGTATTATACACCCAAGCATCAGGTCCCCATAGACTCGGACAGGGCAGCATTCTGTATGATATATTATACACCCAAGCATCAGGTCCCCATAGACTCGGACAGGGCAGCATTCTGTATGATATATTATACACCCAAGCATCAGGTCCCCATAGACTCGGACAGGGCAGCATTCTGTATGATATATTATACACCCAAGCATCAGGTCACCCATAGATTCGGACAGGGCAGCAGTCTGTATGATGTATTATACACCCAAGCATCAGGTCCCCATAGACTCGGACAGGGCAGCATTCTGTATGATATATTATACACCCAAGCATCAGGTCCCCATAGACTCGGACAGGGCAGCATTCTGTATGATGTATTACGCACACATAAACCTGTTACAATGAGCAAGCTAAGCTGAGTGTGTGGCAAGTGAGCTCTCAGCTGCTCTGATGGCTGATTCAGGTGAGGGGCTTCACATCAAAGGGAAGGGGGATCAGATCGCGACAGGTCGTCAGCGATAAGGAGGGGGGAATGAGGGGGAATGAGGCTGTCTAGACACAAGAGGGGGATCATACCTATTGGTCAACCCAGCCCAGTAAAGCAGACAAGAGTACAATCTAGTACCATCTAGTATTATCTAATCTAGTACAATCTAGTTCAATCTGTCCTAATCTAGTCCAGGCCTCAAAGACACCAGAGAAGAATGCTGTATCTTGTTAGTGGAAATATAACATATGTTCATCTCTGTAGACTGTCTGTCAGTCTGTCTGTGTGTGGTACCCAAAGGTAAGATAGTATAGAACACAATGTTTGATTGTATTTTTCTCTTGAAATAAGCTGTTAATAGGAGGAATAAATATCTGGAATGTTAATTAGCCACTTTCTGACATATGAAAATAATTTTCTGATGATAGGTCATTAAATAAATGAAAACAAAATGTGATGGAACATGTGCTGACTTGATGCTATGACTATACACATAAGCATTTGAAATAAATGGAGTTAGCTTGAGTAGTATTTGAATCTAGCAACCCACTAAATTGTTTACTTTTAACACAAGAGTTACGTCAAGGATCCCTTGAGTTTTTCATGCTTAATTTTGAATGCTGCGCATTGTAACTATCTCAGATCTTACAACAACTTTTGGGCACTCGGGATTGTTCAGCTCTGGAATCCAACCACGGCTCTTAGATGGAAATGGCTTTTGACTCATGTTCACAACTTTCAGGGCAGTGACTCCTTCTTTATTTGCTCATTGAAAGGCTGAGACTTACTCCAGAATTACTTCTTAATTAGTGAGTGAGTTTGGCCAAATGCCAGCTGAACAGCATTCAAGTTAGATTAAAGTGCATCTGTTTTTAAAGCTTGCAGGAGAGCACCCTTGTGCAGCAGATCCTGTGTACTAAGGGAAGCAACCCTGCACAGCAAGTTGCAGCCCCTTTGATTACAGGGTGGCTTTATGATAATCAACCTTAATGATATCAAGTACCTGCCATTATCCTTTAATTAAATCTCTGTAACAAGCAAATGTTCTCCAGTACTGTAGATGTCCACACCAGCATGACCCAGAGTCTTCACAACTGACCAGACAGACTAGACATCCTTCTGTGTTTGTATAACATCATGAGGAAACAGCATTACAGTGTAAATAAACCCTGGTTATAATCCAATATCCTCCAGTATACAGTGACCTGGTGTCATTTCCCTTGACCAGACAGTATGACCCTATGTCTGGGGGTCTCTCTGCACAGCAGACGAGTTGCTTATACTGCATAAACAATATTGACTCACTCACTCACTCACTCACCCTGCCACTGGTCCAGGACAGATGTGATTCAGACTTGGTCTTAGAGACATATACTCAACCAATTCATGAAGTTTCAATGTTATACCACACTAATAAGAGTATTGCCTTTTATATATTGAAATAATGACAGCTGTTTGCATTAATTCAATGAATTTACGTCACTTAAACAGAGTCTTTATTATCCACCAAAATAGATTCAATTGGGTGTGAAAGGCAAAATAGTGGTCAATATTATATGAATGGATCACTGAAAATTAATGACACCAGGGCCCACTTGCACAAAGCGATCTTAGCGCTACAACTATTGTAAGCCTATGTTAAAGCATGGGAGTTACGATCATCTTAGCGCTAAGGTCGCTTTGTGCAAGAGGGCCCAGGTGTTTGCAAAAAGGGTAAGCATGTCCTGCCCAACTGGTGGCAACATAACTAAACTGTTCACACAAAATACAACAACAACAAAAGTATTTGTGGATAATGACATAATTTTGGAGAGATGAATATAGATCAACTTAGCCTTCATCTAAAGACAAACTACTGGCCAAACAATGATCAAAAAGGTTTAGTCATGCCAGTATTATCACATCTTCCCGAGGAAAGTGAGTTAACAGACTATAAAAGTCCAGTTTTCACCCTTGCCGAACTAGGCTGGTATTATTGAGTTACATTTTGGCTGGATCAACGAGTCTATGCATAGTCCAATCAAAATCGCGCACCGAAATCGAAATCCGGTTCGTAAAGTGTCATGCAGATTTTGGTCGACTGCAGGATTTGCAAAGCATGTGCACCGCTAACTCATTGTCAACAGATATTTTCTAAATCTTTTCATGTTTTTATTCAAGGTGCTCCCGTGATTTGATGCACTTCGCGATGTAAGACTCGTTTTATCACAATATAGATCTTGATTATCGATCAGATCGTCTTGCCTGGACGCCACCGTTTTGATTGAAGCAAATGCAAGTGATACGAGAGGTGGAATCTGATTGGTCCATAGGAGAGGAATAGAAGGGACTTAACTGGTAATAGCCACTGGTGGCGCTACGATCCAGCCCAGGGATTCCAGCCTAGTTCGGCAAGGGTGGAAACTGGACTTTTAAAGTCAGTTAAGTCTCTTGCCTCGGGAAGATGGTATTATCATGGTATTATCACAGTATTGTCACAGTATTATCCACACTTGACAGACATTGTGTCCCCCTGATCCCATCGATTCAACTTCCATCACAACATTTGGAACATAGGGATTGTCCATCCTGACCTTAATATCAATGAGGATATTCATCTCAGAATCAAAAGTAGGTGTTACTAAAACATAGTTTTAAACCTGGTTTTGAACTAACAAAGACAAAACAACTGCATATATTATTAATTCCTAAACTAAATACTGTGTATCACTTATATTATAAAAAGATTAAGTAAGACAAGGTGGCATGATATCCATTGTTTGTTTGTTTGTTGTTCACTCATCCTCAGCAATATTCCAGCTATATGACAGTGGTTTGTAAATCCAGTGATTGATATCATGAGCATCGATCTACGTAATTGGGATATGATGACATGCATCCACCAAGTCAGCAAGCCTGACCAACCGATCCCGTTAGTTGCCTCTTTCAACAAGCATGGGTTGCTGAAGACCAATTCTAACCTGGATCCTTTTTGGGCAATAGGTACGTTCAAGAACTCCAGAAATCACTCAACAGAATATCGGCACCAAGAAACCATCATTTTTCTTGATAATTAATATGTTTGCAGATTTCTCTGGTTTGTTATACAGCAGGCATTAATACTAAACCCTATTGTGGATGAACCAAGTTGTTGTTTAATGATGCATTCAGCATTATTCCGACTATATTGAGTAAATGAATGTTGTTTAATGATGGATTCAGCAATATTCCTGCTGTATTGAGTAAATGAATGTTGTTTAATGGTGCATTCAGCATTACTCCGGCTATATTGAGTAGATGAATGTTGTTTAATGATGCACTCAGCATTATGCCTGCTGTATTAAGTAAATGAATGTTGTTTAATGATGCATTCAGCATTATTCCTGCTATATTGAGTAAATGAATGTTGTTAATGATGCACGCAGCATTATGCCTGGTGTATTAAGTAAATGAATGTTGTTTAATGATGCATTCAGCATTATTCCTGCTATATTGAGTAAATGAATGTGGTTTAATGGTGCATTCAGCATTATTCCTGCTATATTGAGTAAATGAATGTTGTTTAATGATGTATTCAGCGTTATTCCTGCTGTATTGAGTAAATGAATGTTGTTTAATGATGCATTCAGCGTTATTCCTGCTATATTGAGTAAATGAATGTTGTTTAATGATGCATTTAGCGTTATTCCTGCTATATTGAGTAAAT